TGTTAGTTCAGAGATTGCAAAAAGTATTCTCCAAAAAAGAATGGGTGGGGATGGGCAGCTGTGCCTAAGGATGTGACTATCGGGTCAGAATCCGGCTCTTTGGCACTTGCTGGATTGTTTACCATGCGTGGCCCTAGTCAGGAAGTGAGCCAAGCTGAGATCAAGCCCACGAATGCTCAGGAACATAATTTGGGCAAAGTACATATGTAATTTGTTGACAAGATACACTAAGTATATAATTCTTTGTACAAAGAACACCAAGCACACAAGTCACGTGTATGAAAGCAGAACCCCAACGAACTCGCTTCTTGTAGCACACCCGTGTAAATGTTCAGCATGAGGTGGAGTTTCGAAATAGAGAAACTGGGCTAGGGACTGCAGAGCTGAGCTGAGAGAATCCCTCGGTTTCCCACCCTCTACTCACTGGCCATGGTGGACACAAAAGGGATTGCAGCAGGAAGCAAGACGGGTTCTCCCATACAAAGCCTAAAGGAGGACTGAAAGGAAGGAGGGAGAGGAGCCCATGGTCAGCCCAGCTGCCTATCAGCTGCACCATGGGGTGTTCCATTAACAAACCCTACGGCATCTAGAGTGCTTCCCATGTTCTGTAAGCTCAGACACAGTGGCTGGCTGCACGCCTCACAGCAAACAACCCCACACTGTTTCCACAGTGTGCAGGCTTTTGCTCTAACCTACTAGTCAGACAAAAATGTGATGTCTGACCAGCTGCATGTTTTCCAGGCTCCCCATGCCATCCTCCTGGCCTTGCCATGCATCCCAGCAGCCCCAGTGAATAAAATACCACTCTTTCCCTATTCTTCCTTATGCACCACAGCATCCTCCTCCTGATTGGTCCCGAGGCTGGGGATCAATCCCCACTTCCCCCTCCTGAGTGTATCTGCATGCCTGCAACACTTTCCAGACTCTGCTGCCCCCAGAAATATTTTTACTGAATGAAAATAAATGGCTGCGCTGCAATTCCCTCCTTCCCCTTCCATTTATTTTCACACTATCTCCTTATTTCCATAAGTAAATAAAGAGAAGGGCACATGGGAATAAAACAAGCAATGACATTGTTGCCAGGGATCTAAGGGCAGTAGAGATGGAAGGTTAGAAGTGACCACTTCTGTGGTCAGTCCTGCCAGGGGACTCTATGGTATTTCCATACCAATAACGGATCTAGATGACCAGAGAAGCTCCAAAGGAAGCCTTAGAACAGACTGCCAATTCTCTCTGTAGTTTCAGAATAATAATCCTACCATGCAGGAAAGCTGGAACATGATCTGGACTGTACATCCGACCCACAACAGTAAGACTTCACCATGGTTTTCTGTGTCATATGAACATTCCCAGTGTGTCTACATTGTGGGGAAGGGGATGACAAATGATTAAATAATCCACGAACACCCAATACAGAGTTGCAGCGGAATTTCCCACCCAAGTGATGACTGATAAGAAAGAAGGAAGGAAGGAAGGAAGGAAGGAAGGAAGGCAGGCAGGCTAGAGGTGTGAAACATGCAGCAACGTAAGGAACATTTTCTTATGCAGACTAAAGTTTTGGACTCCTGGGAACCTTCAAGTATTTTCTGTTTATCTTGTGGCACGTAGTTTGGGTGCTACCTTTCTAAATAACACATTAGCCATGTTCCAGTTCCTGCGAAATAATTGCACAGTTCTCTGTTGCAAAAGCTTTCCCATCCTTTCGAGAGAAAAGGGGAATGACTAGGGATGTTCAACTGATTCATTCATTCATAAAAAATGAGAAACTGAACTCAATGAGTCCGGTTTGCCTCATTTGCTAGAAAACAAATGCTATCGGTAATTAATTGGTACAACTGTGTTTGTTTTCATTATACCATTCAAACCCATCCCCCACTTAGTGTGTGCGTGTGCAATTTCTGTGGCACGGTGCTTGCAGTTTTGGGGAAGCCATTATTTTCCTCCACAAAGCCTTGGAAGGATATTGGGGAAAATAAAATTGCAGCCAACCAAATCAGCTCCACTGCTATCCCCGCAGCCACAGAAAAAACCAAAAACCAAAGAAAAATAGGCCACATAGAGTGATATAAGTATTGAAATAGTTGAATAATAAAATAAATGGATAATGAAATGAAAGCAATTTTAAGAGGCTGGTAGTGAAATTAACAATGAAAGAATGGAGGAAAATGAATCTAACTATGAAACAAATGCACAATCCTGCACACCTCAAGGAATGGTCAGTACTTTTGAAGCCAAACCTCAAATCATTGGTGGGGTATCTTTTCAACCTGTATTCATAGGGCATTGATAATGCTCACTCTCTGGAGATGTTGTGTAACTCTCTTCTGTTTTCAACAAAATTGATCTCTTCTATTATCTAAACTCATAACATTTTGAAGGGGAAATTGAAATGACACATCCTGAAAGGAATCCATAAAATGGACTCCAACTGGTAAAGCTCTGACCCTTTGAAGTGTCTAAACAGGAAACTGCCCGGGCTGTTTCTGAAAAAAGAGTGAGGTATAATTATTAAAAATAATTAAAGACCAAAGGGGCAGAAATACAAAACAAAAGCTTGCTTTAGAGAATGGTACAAGTAAGTGCAGTCCTACAGTCCAACCAAATGTGTAGCCCTAATGATTTCCCTGAGAGGTGAGCATACACTGAGTTCTCTC